TTTTCAGCTGATTTCAGATACCACTGAAAAGCTGCTTCTTCATCTTTTGTAATTCCAATTCCTTTTTGATAACAATAACCGACATAATATTGTCCCCTACAGCATTTGTTTTCGGCCGATTTTAAGTACCATTGAAAAGCCTTTTCTTCATCTTTAGTAATTCCAATTCCATATCTATGACAGTTTCCAAAATTAGTTTGACCACATTTGTTTCCATCTTCAGCTGATTTAGAATACCATTGAAAAGCTTTTTCTTTATATTTTATTACTCCAATTCCATGATAATAACACCATCCGAGACTATTTTGACCAACGCTGTTTCCATTTTCGGCTGATTTCAAGTACCATTGAAAAGCCTTTTCTTCATCTTTTGCGACACCAATTCCATATTGATAACAATACCCAATAACATATTGACTATTGCTATTATTATTATTTGCCAAATTTTCATGTGATTTAAATGCATCATAAACGTCTTCTTTGAATTCTGGGTATTCTTTTTCAAGATTAAATTTTCTTTTATCTTGCCCTCCAAATGCATGGTTTAAATCGATTTCTGTTTTTTTTAAAAAATAAAAAATCATTAAAACTTACTGCCTTAAGCGTGAGTTAAAATATAAGTGGTCACATTACCAGAGTCTCTATTGATTGAGTCGATGTTTCGTTTATTCGATATAAAACTTTGCATTGGTTTACTTATATAATCATTGAATTTTTCTTCCGATAAACACACTTGTTCGTTTATAATTGAATTATTTAATTTAACAATCTCAGTTAAATCTACATTTTTAAGGTCTTGTACAACTTTATCAATGGGTGGACGTTGGTTTATCTCTTGACTCCAGCATTCTATTAAAATAATTAAAAATAATTAATACAGTAAAGGATTTCATAATATCTATATGAACATATTGTACCTTGATATATTTTTACATAACCTGTGGGTGTTCCTATAATTGGAACTTCTCGGTTACCATTTGTAATAAAAGTTACCAGATCTAATTCGTCCTGAAAATGATTTGATCTGTAGGGACATTGA